TCGAAAGAAGAAGATTGGCATCCGGAAGAGCAACAAATCATCGAGGAAGAAGACCATTCTGCTGCTGAAGGTTATCAGGCGGATCGAGAGGATTCTTCGAGGCAAAATAGTGTGGAGCGCAACGAAGCCGTCGCGCCACCTACTACAGACATCGCACAGTATGGTTTCGATTTCAAGTTTTGGTTATTTACTAAGAATAGGTGTAGGGTAAGTTAGAGTGAAAAGAGTGTTTATCGTCAAAAAATCGCAAAAATGTGCAAAAATTGGTGTCTTGATTTGTGGATTTTTTGTGAGAACTACTAGCAAATTTGGCTGTATCTCTTGAAGTTTGGTTAAGCAGACGATTTTCATTGTTTCTTTATCACCACAGAGTTTAGCCCTTAGTTTATTGCTTTCTTAGCCAAACAATCCAAGAAGAAGATGAGAAACGCACTCCTCATGAACTCTGGCATTGGGCATATAAACAAGTGTGCAAAAGTCTTGGCTACAAGGTGAGTGAGGTCATTATTCAAAACTTGACAGATCACAGGTCCTGCAAAGTTGTAAAGAACTTGCTGTGATTTTCTGGCTTTTTAAAATTTAAAACAAACATTCTGCTATCAAGGCGGTATAAAATGGTTTTGTTGAATTTTGTGCTATGGACCCCTTTGCTTCGACTGATTTGTTTTCTGTCCATGCGGCTGCTGTTGAATGTTGGCATTTGAAATATTTGCACTGGATTGTTTGAGCAATGAATCAAGGTTGTGATTAATCTTTGTTGGGCTATGTTAATTTCAGCGGTATCGCCTTCAATGTATAGGTAATCTGTCTAAGAACATCTCGTTGTGCTATCTTCTATGGCTCCAACGATGGCTATACTGCCGAAAAGTTCACATTAGTAAAAAAGATCAGTAACAATCTTGGTCGACTGCTCATACAACTCCAATGCATTATCACCGTTATTAAAGGACTTTGAAATACAAGGGGCTCACTTCTAATAACTCAGCAACTTAAGCAAACTAATTCATATTACAATGTTTCGATGGTGTAGGTGTATCTTCGAACGAGCGTCATCCACTGTTCGGGTGGAAACTTCTTAATGCATAAAAAACGATTATTTTCTCATATTTGACAACCTGCCCTCCTTCTCACTCTGCAACTAAAA